GTTTTAAGAGCTCCTCGTTGTAATATGCTCAAAGTTTACAATAAGTTGTCAAGCGACCTCGCCCAACAGAAGCGACGTTCCAAAATCGTCACATATAGAATGGAGGTTACAGAATAATCAATAAAATGATGCGACGGTAACGGGTCGGGCGCCCCTAGGGGTAGGCCAGCGCGCGGCTGCGTGCTCGCGTGTGCGGCGGGCTGCCTACCCTCGGGGCGGACCCAAGTGCGAGCGCCGAGGCGAGCGCGCAGCCGGCCAGCCGGCGTGCAGGGGGCGGGTGGCCGGCCGGCGAGCCAGCCGGGGCACGAAAATAGTGATACTGCGAGAGAAACAGGGAGCCCGGCGCGCTGCCTGCAGCACGTCGCGATAAATTTCACTCTTAATCCCTACCCGCGCTTTCATTTCCGTCCTGCACTACGCTACAACTCGGCGCCGCGCCGTTCGAACGCCGGCCGGCCCCACTGTTAAAGTCTTACGAAGAAAAATGTCAAATCCTTTGTAATACGAAGGATTTGGACGCTTCGTAGGGAGCAAATCCTTCGTAGGTACGAAGCATTTGGCATTTTGCTTCGTAAGACTTTAACTGTGCCGCCCGCCCGCCCCAGACCGGCGAGGCCTTTCAAAACTGAGCCCTCGCACCACGGGACCTCAGGGTGACGGCAGCCAGCCCGGGGGGATGAGCACATAGGAAGTAGCGCGGCCAGCTGCGTGACGGTGTTGGCCCGTGACGAGTGACGTTGGCGTGACGCCCGGTGACGTTGGCGTGCCGAAACGTGACGGGCGGAACTGAATCCAAGCCTCTAAGGCCGGCGGTCAGGCCAGTGCGTGACAGCTGACAATTATTGGGTTACTTCCTACTCGACCTCGGCGCGGTCGGGCGGGCGCGGTCAGCGCGCTGGGGCGGTGGCGGGGCGGGGAGCGGTCCGCCGGCCCCTCCCCCCTTTCTACACACACACGCACACCTCCACGCCAGCGTAACACGACGGCCCTCTACAAGTACGCGTCCTTTTCTTTGTACCAGGATCAGCGCATTCAGCGCGAGCGAGGAGCCGACAACTTAACGTGCGCGCGGCTGGGCGGGGATTTACACCCGGGTGGGTTTGGAACACGAGACAAGCCGCGCGCCGCCAGACCACACCACGCGCGGCGC